GCCGGTTACAAAAAGAGCGGCAAAGTACACACTGCTACAACATGAAGTGTGGTAATGTTCACAAGGTCCTATTTCTGCTAATGGTAAACGCTCTTTGTTAGTTGAATGTTGAAGAATGGAACCCACTGCATAGACAAACTTCTTGCATACGACACAATTCCCAAACAAATCCTACCCATATCTCCCAATTATAATGGTAAACATATAATGCCCCTTCCGAAACAATTCAGATTATTAACGGAGATTAGAAGTGTTGCAAGAGAGTAACATACACAGAAGAGAAGGAGGAGATATAAGGACGACAGATGTTTGACAGGAAAGAAGGATCAAACAACACCAGAACACCCTCCAACCACCCCACGAGGTGTACAGCTAGACCAAACCCAAATGCCAAGCTGGACAAGATGACAGATGTGAGAACTCACGGCCACGTTCCTGATCTGTGTGGAGGCAAACACTGACATCGTCTCCAGCAGCGCGGCAAACCCTCGGCTCTTGTGTTCTGTGGACGGCAGTTACAAGTCAGTGTCAGAAATAAATGCCTCATTATACAAACTGAACGCCTCTTGCAACACTGTACAGTTATTAAAAGGGGAGACATCCGAGGTTAACGTCGATCTCCGATAGGACCGAATTAAATGGTAAAAACACTCGAACCCACAACCTCATGCTTAACCACAAGACTATCAACGACATCAAAAAGTTTTCAAGCCATATACAATGTTGTTGTGATTGTATTATGACACACTAACGTAACATACAGCATTTCGGAAGCACACTTCTTCAACACTATCTGCAAGAGCCAATCTGGACCGTGTGGGATACATTCCAGTAGAAAGATGGAGATACTCTTTAAAATATCGCCTGCATACGCGATTCGATGTAGTGTCTTTTTCAAAGAATGCAAAGAGACTTATCAATACTTCTCTGAAGTCAGAGAACTAGTTTTACTAAAACAGATAAACACTTCTTTTCAGCAGTGCACGCCACACACATAAACTCTCGTTCAGTCATCAAGAATTAAGTAATTAATATTTTCTAAAAATTAAAACGAAAGGAGCTAAAACAAAATTAAACCAATCACTGGACAGAATAATTAAACAAAGAGAAAGGATTACTGTCATGTTGGCTGACCCCCTCCAGCCCCCCCACCCCCACCCCACGTCACTCACCCGGCAGTTCCTCGATGATCGCCCTCACCACAGGACGCAGACCCTGGATGGAGGCCGCCGCTCCCACACGGAGACCAGCCTCTGTCACCTCCACCTGAGGCGAGCGGGAGGGAGGGGGTGTGAGGGAGGGAGGGAGAAGGTGGTTGTTTCAGTTTGTGTGAGTTTGTGTGAGTTAAGAACAGACTCACTGCACAGAAAATTTTATTGAGACATCTTTGTGTTTAGTTGTAGTTTGAACCTAACAGCATTTCCAACATATTTATTAGGTTATATAAGTGTCAAAGATTAGAGGTGTTACTACCGAGAGCTTAGAGGTATACAAAAAAAGAGGAGGGGAGATAGCGACGATAGATGTTGGATAGGAAGGAGGAGCAGACCACAAAACAGCTCTCGCCTACCCCCCCCCCCCCCCCCCCACACACACACAGACATTTTGAGGTAAAGAAATAGAACAAAAACACACGCAAGCAAAGAGCAAATTTCTTGTTAAGTCAAATCAAATCTGGCATTGGCACTGATTCAGAAGACCGCAGTGTCTTGTTTGAGGAAAAATATTTTTAAAAAGTAAATGACGCTTGAAGGTCCTAATGCGAATCTATAAGAAGGATTAAATAACCAACAGTCCATATTTAGGCAAAAGTTTATCGGTAAGTCCCAAGCTACGAACTATCTGTTCTCAGGGTGTGTTGATTGTTTATCCGGTATCAAGCTGGACTAAAATGTGGATGGCAATGGTTCGAACTCCCAGTTGGGCGTCCTTCAATCTGGGTTGCTTAGAGAGTTTTCAAGACTCTCTACACTTTTCACTTTGTCCCTGTGGACATTTAATTCGGATCTCCCGCTCTCGAATGACCTTACAGCATTGACAGGAGTGTTAGACCCTCATACTACCATGTGCCACGCCAATCTACCCCAACTAAACATACGCATATGCTCACGCAGACACACACGTTCGATTTCAGAGGTGTAGGGGATGTGAAAAAATATGAGAAGAAAGAGAAAAAGAGGAGGACTGGTATAATTTATATCGATGGTATTAAGCACAAATGGGCCATCTCCTATGAAGCTTGTTAGCAGAAGAGGTTCAAAACTTTTGTAAAATTGTGAAAAACTAGTTGAATCCGAAATTCCCTTCGATGTTATATGAAGTTCTACTTGATGACTGCTTTTGTTATAAATAGAAAAGAGTGGTAAACTCTACTTTGCCAGAATTTGGTCTCAAAGGCAAAGCATAAAATAGCCACAACTCATCTTTTTCCTTATTTCTCTGGCTTCTCTTTACGAAACATTTTCGTCTGCAGGTGCTTTGGTCATCGTGAGACATTGACGGAAGAACTGTTACAGAATAGTAGAAAAAAAGTTGTTATAAAATTTTTAAGTTAGTCCATTTATGCCCAACATGGCCGATAAGTCCAGCCTCTACGATGTCACGTGATGTGGCAGGAACTGACCATTTGGAGTTCTGGTACTTGAGTGAGCGATATCAGCTGGGGGTAGGAGAGCTTGAGATGCCGTTTGTCCACTCCTAGATGTCGACACAAGAAAGGCAAATCAAAATCGTGCACGACTCAGAGACTACTTAAATAGATAAATAGATAGATAGATAGATAGATAGACAGACAGACAGACATACAGACAGATATATAGATAGATAGACAGATAGATAGACAGACAGACCGACAGACAGACAGACAGACAGACAGACAGACAGACAGACAGACAGACAGACAGACACACAGACACACAGACAGACAGACAGACAGACAGACAGACAGACACACAGACACACAGACACACAGACACACAGACACACAGACACACAGACATACAGACAAATAGTTAGTACTAAAGCTCATGGCAATGACGTCTCGCTTGTCAGACTTGGAGCCTTTTTTACTCAACGTATGGTCGGCACGCCCCCATTTACATAAACAATCGGAGCCTCCATCCCGCTCCCCACGAGCTCTATTACACATTAAACAATGCCCTGCCTCCACTTTTCTGTCCAAAGTAAAGTTATAGATGTCCCCAAATACCCGCCAAGACGTGCCTCGAAAGCATTCACCCTGTTTTGGACTGTGGATGTTTGCCCTCAACGCTCAGCGTCCCAGTTTGGGCACATTCAGCTCTCGTTCGTTTACGTTGGTGAAGTCACTGCCACCATCTCTAGTGCCATGTAACCTCATTGACACGACAGTAAATGTTTCATGTTCACTCACGTAATGGATTTCTCCATGACCAAAGTCGACGACTTTTGTTACAAGAGATGCAAGTTCAAGCACAGTTATAGCAGTATTTATAATAACTTTTGAGAAACAGGACTGACATACCCTAACATTAGGGACAAATGTACTTTACCCATAAACTCACGTTAGATTACATTTTTTCAAAAAATATAAGTGGGGGGTTTTACACTTTATTCGATGCAATTTGGATAATAATAATAATGATAATAATAATAGATAGCATTTGTATAGCGCATATCCCCGCTCAACAGCAGGCTCTATGCGCTTTACACTATATTATGTAGGAGACGGGAAACCAAACTGCGTATTAAGGCCAAACCAGAAGAGGAGGGGAAAGAGAGGTAGGCTGAGATCCACCTCGGAGCGATATCTGAAGGGGAATCCTAGGCATGTGGAACTCAGCTGGCTGGAGGAGGAGAAGATCGCCCAGAATATAGACAGGTGGTGAGCTCTTCTTGGCGGTCTACACTTCACCCAACACCAGTATGAACGAGGAAGATGAAATGGCCAGCAAACATACCTAGCTGGGTGTTCCCACAGACTACACGACTGTCTGGGTGAGCCTTCCGCAAGGCCGCTAACTCTGTCAGTGTGGCCGGCCGGAACCATGCCACCTGACGTTTCTGGAACTGTAGATTCTGGGAGTTCAACAGTGCAGTCTCCAGCTACAAGGGAGTCGATTGGGGAGAGAAGCCAAATAATGATTGAGTAGTGTGATTAGACAAGAGAACATAACAATGTAACAATTGACAAAACAAAAGGGCAATAATTTTGATAATTTAAGACTAATCTAAGCAAAACTGGGAACATAATGTAAAATTCAATCCAGGGGACGTAAGTTTCTCAATAGGAAGAAAACCAATTTACTTCTTCGAGAAATATCAAACAAATCTCAGCCAAATTTGAGAGAATCGCAAACCTAAGCGACTTCTAAAACATCAACCATGATGTGTATTTGAGCATTCAAGAACAAATTTG